AACGCTGCTAAACTAAAGCAGTATTATAGTTAAAAAAAACCTTAACACTAAGGACTCTCGTCGTCGGACATCCACATCCAGTCAACAGAGAGAAATGTCCCGACCACGTAGATAGGCCAAGGTACGGGCCCAATCTACGCTCAAACGACATAAGGCCGTTCAGCCAAACGAGCACGAACGACGGTGCCCGACAGGGACACCTCAATCGAGCCCCACTATCGAAGTACCCACATGGCAGAACACCCAACTCGCGATGGGCAGTTCACGCCACGGGCAAGCGACCCCAATCTGGGTCATACACTGGAGCAAGCGGCTTTACTCCGCACGACCGACGCATCTCGAAGTACGTCGGACCACCAAACAGGTCGAAAGAATCTCCACTCGAGGACGTAACTTAAGCAAATTTGACCACAAAGTAACAGCCGAGCATAGGCGTGACTCGAGGACGTAACTTAGGCAAATTTCGCCACAAAGTAACAGCCGAGCACAAGCGTGACTCGAGGACATAACTTAGGCAAATTTCATCACAATATAAAAACTTAGACACAAGAAAATTTAAAGGTCGAAAAGCTCATAAGCAAAAAACAAATAAAAATAAACCGACCAAGAAGGTCGGCGATGTTCTGAAATTACAGGCTATGGCACGACGACTGGAAGAAATTTGTACGGACACACAGGCCCCAAAAATATGCACGGGCACGTAGGCCCCAAAACAACTACCAATAAATGGGCGCGCAGGCCCGACCAGAATTCCACGGCTAGACTTCCTCGGGGCTACCAGCATCCACGACAGGAGACTCAGGAGGAGGCACGACATGGTCGTCGATGATCTGGGACATGAAACCCACTCCCTCGATATTCATGCCCGGATTCAATAAAGTGAGCTGGCTAACCGCGGCCTCGAAACCGTCTGCTAAGGCACCAACACAGTCCGTTTCGAGGAGATGGATGTGCGCGACCAGATCCAAACGACTCCGCAAGGGGGATGTCTCCTCCGACTCGTCTTCAGCAGGAAGCATGGCGGCCTTCAGATCCTCGACTTCCTTAGATAGACGCTCGTTGTCGGCCTCCAAGCGTTCCCGGTCCAGTCGAAAACAATCCCTCTCCTCAACAACCTTCCCCGAGTTTTCCTTCTCCATGGCCAGCAGCTCGGCTTGCTCGCGGAACATCTCCTCATATCGCTCCAGAGCAGCCTTCAACTTACGAGAGCCGGCGGCGAGGGAAGCTTTCTCCAACTCTAGTTCCCTAACGTGGTCAGAGGAGTCCGACCCCTCCTCAGCAAGGACAACCGCCATATCGGCCATCTTAACCATCCCGACCATACTGGCGGCCAGGTGTTTTCCCCGACTCTCCTTGTTGAGCCGCCTGATGGTCTCAGCCTCCTCGGCACTCACTGTCAAGGGAAACCCCTCGAAGAAACCTTCCTCTTTAAAACAGGGGGAAAGCCAAAGGCCCTCACTGCTACAGAATCGTCGTCGACTTCTGACTGGTTCTCTGCCCGGCTTCTCTTTCTCGTTATCAGCTCGGTGGGCTGCTCGACATCAGGGGAACCCTGGGACCCGCTGGAAGCATCGCTTGAACTGGTTGGCGGGCCCATCCTCGTGGCCTGTGGAGCCCGCACCAACCTTCTGTTTACTCTCCTGTCCTGAGACAGCTTTAAAAGCCTCTCCCTTCGTTCATCCATATTGCCTGCAAAGAAGAAAAGCTCGGGTTAGTTACGAGCAAGTAACAAACAAAGAAACTAGAACAAAACTATAAGACAAAAAGCAACCTAGTAGATCTACGGCCTACCCGTAGGATTGACACTCGACAAGCGCCTTGGTATCGATAGGACGGACCTCGAATGTCGGGTAACCCTCCTCGTCGAGAATGTCTTCCCCCTCCCTCGTGACCCACCGGGCAGGGAAGAAGCTGTCGACATACTTACAAAGGCTACCATAGGCTTCCTCATCCTCGGCACTCATTCCTCCCGCGGGCGTATGGTAGTGCCCGGTACCATGCTCGTAATGGCGCGATCACCAATGCAACGGGAACTTGGATACACGCCCCACCACCGGGCGACCCTCATCGTCCATAAGAGGCTCCCCGTTCTCGTCGGCCACTGCGGTTTCCTCTTCATACATAGAATCCAAAGCAGTCTGGGTGACCGGCTGCAGGACGTACCATTTGTCCTTGAAACCCCAGACCGAATCCATGTACATCCTGAACAGCCTCTTCGACAGTTTCAGGGAAACCCAGCTATGCTGGCCTCCTCGAGATTGGCGTTGCAGGTGAAAAACTCTGAAGAAGAGAGGAATGGTCGCCACGATCCTTAAGAAGCGACATGTCAGCTCGAACGCCCGAAGAAAGGCGATTGAATTGGGGTGAAGCTGCAAGGGGGCCAAATCTAGATGGCATAATACCCCGACCTGGAAATCACTGAAAGGAAGCTTAAGGCCGAGGTCCTTGAACGCAGTCTCATATATTGGAAACCCATACTCAGAGAACTCTAAGCAGATTTGCGCGTCGAGGGACGGCCTTGTGACAACAAAGTTCTTCTGGAAGCCCGACTGACTACCGCCGTGTTCGACGATAGTGTATGCGCGCCGACTACGCCGACTATATGCCGAGGCAATCCCTCGGGGCTCGGCGCCCACCCAATCCAACGAAGGATCATCGACGGTATCAACAAGAGTTACATTCTCCTCGGCGCTCTGATCCTCGACCTCATTACGCCCCGAAGACTCCGGCTCGTCAGCCATTTACCTGCAAAGCACAGGAAATCAGTGAAATTCGAGAGCAAATCCATATGCTCGCCATAACTGACGAGAAGTGGTGCACGACAAGCCAAGACACACTCCGCACGCGATAAAACATTGAGGACTCGAACAAGATCCTGGTTTCGCCTCCCCGACGCTAAGGTGCCACGACGAGTTGTCCTATATCCTTCCTAAGGGGTCAACATCCCGGCCAACTCATGGGTGCGCCGACCTAAACTATGAATTTGACGAGCAATATCATGAGTCCTAAACCTATAACTATGGGTTTACCGGACAATATCATAGATTATGCGCCCAAAACCATGAAGGTCCCGGGAAGCATCGCGAGTCAAATACCTAAAGTTATGGGTTTACCGGGCACAAACATGAAGGTACCAGGCACATACATGAATGTACCGAGCACTAATCCCAAATGTGGGCTTCTAACATCCAAATAACGGTAAAATTACCTACAAATGAAGAAAAATAGGAGGGATAAACGCTTACTTGGAAGTAAAGAAGAATGTACGGAAACAATGAAAGAAATCAACGGAGGAAGAGGCTGTAATCTTGCGAAGTTGTAGAAGAACAACGACGACAAAGGCAGAGGAAGAAGGAGAAGCGCGAAGAGGAAAAACAAATTATGGGACCCAAGGATCCTATTTATAGGGATGACGTGGAATACGAAACGTCGCCCCGGGGAACCACGAACTCCCCTCCTCGACGCCTACTCCCATAAGCAATAATGACCCTACTGTCGCTAGGGTGGCGTCACGGTTCCCAAGGGTTGCCTCGTGTGCCCAACGAACACAGTCTGCGAGGAATCCCCCGAGCACACGTCGACGAGGATTGCCCCACGAATACAACTCATGAGAAACTTCTCGAGCAATCACGAGGAAGCAAATAGCCTGGGTCGGGCATCGGACCCTGTGGCAAAGGCGAGTTGAAGTCAAGTCATAGCTCCTGCTCCAAAAGCCACGACTTGGGAGGCTCCTGTTCTGGACTGGGCCCGCCCTGGCCCAAAAGCAAAGACAAAGGTCCAATCCAAGCAGCTCCTTGAGGGACGCGTGCCTACGGATTCCCGCCAGCGCGCCCGACACAGACAACAGTCGTGCCCGCCGTTGCCCGCGACACATGGTGTCCTCGACTAGGGGAACTCCAGCTCGAGCCCAGCTCGAGCACCCTCCTCGTAGGGCAGATTCTGATCGTTACCAAATCATCTGAACTCCAGAAAGACCGCGTCTTCGTCCCTCCTCATCTCTCGGAGAACATCACCAGGAAGGGGGCCACGTGCGGGTCTCCACTACACACGTAGAACCTGACAGTTCTTTTGTTGGGCCAAATCTGGTCGGCCCAATGAGGGGACCTTGGCCCCGCCCTAGGGGCTATAAATACCCTCTGTTCCTAGAGGGTCAGGTATTCATCTCTTACGTATACATACACTTTTGCCTGCTCGTTCCGTCACTCATTTTAGCATCGGAGTGTCTTGCAGGTACCCTCCATCTCACTCAAATTCTGCCCGAAGCCAATCGTGACGGTTCAAGCCTGATCAGGTAAGATCAATATTTAAAAAGTTATATAATCAATATTGAATATTATTTAATAAAGAATATATATACAATTTAAGTAAGAGAGAAGGTGAATATTTACTAAATAATTAAAAATATATAAAATTAAATTAATACAAGAGAGTGATAAAAATTAGTTTTAATAAATAACTAATAAAATATTAAAATGAATATAAAAGTTATTAAAATAATAATTAAATAAATATAAATGTTAGTGGAAGAAAATTAAAAGTTAATAATACAATTATATATAAAAAATGAAAAGAAAGTTATAAAAACTACACATTTTATAATTAAAATTAAAAAGAATATAAAAAATTACTAAAATAATAATTAAATAAATATAGAAGTTAGTGAAAGAAATTTAAAACTGATTGAAGAAAATTAATTTTTAATAAATATTTAATAAAATAAAATAAAAATATATAATATTAAAAAACTTTAATTTTAATTCCAAAAATTATTTAAAAGATTTAACAACTTTAATATACAATATAAAATTAAACCCATAAACCTATATAGTACTCGTATTTATTAGTCTCCTGGTGTGTAAGCAAGAAAGATAGCAGCGAAGCGCAATACCCATTTCCCGCTTCGAACTTAACTCTCCGAGTAACATCTACTACCAAAATCCTCTTCATTCCATTCCCCCCAACACCACAAATCGTTAGGGTTTCGTTTTTCTCTCTGAAAAATGGTTACATGTAACTCCCTTTCCCTCTCTACTCACAGTCTCCTTTTCCATAGCAGACATCGTCTTCACCCTACATGGAGGCGTTCCTGTTATCACTCTTCTTCCTCCAATGCTCTCCCAAGTAATTCACCATGTCTCCTTTTTCATGCTCATATCATTTCAATTCTGAATCAAATCGTTTACTTCTTTTTTTTTTGTTTAATTTTTTGAAATTTGAATGAAATTGGATTAATCTCTTATGGTTTTGTCGAGTAATTTGTCAAGTAAGATTTCATTTTAAGGTGATTTAATGGATGTGTATTTATATATTGAAGCTGTGTTATATAATTGTTGTGTTTTGAGTAGATATTGATGTAGCCAAAGTATTGCAAAAAAGACCAAGAAAAATTGAAGGTCCTAAAAAGAGCATGGAAGACTCTGTTCAACGCAAGATGGAGCAATTTTACGAAGGATCAGATGGGCCACCTCTCCGCGTTCTTCCTATTGGTGGATTGGGTGAAATTGGAATGAATTGTATGCTTGTGGGGAATCATGATCGATATATCCTCATTGACGCCGGAGTCATGTTCCCAGAGTACGTCATGCAACTCCATTCCCTCTCTCTTATATACTGTGCGGCTATGACTTATCACTCATACTTTAGTGCATTGAATAATCTCAATCTCTATGCATACGGAATTTCATATGAAAGACTTTAAAATGTTAAATACTAGTCAGCGTGACATTGCATTCTACGGTTACGAAGACTGCGAGATATTTTCTTTATGAAGATGATTTAAATTTTTTATAAGTGCTATCAAATTGCTTATGCATGATTGTCTTTTATTTACACATTGTTCACTTGTTTCAGCTATGATGAGCTTGGGGTTCAAAAGATAATACCTGACACAACATTTATTAAAAAATGGAGCCACAAAATTGAAGCAGTAGTTATAACACACGGTCATGAAGATCATATTGGTGCATTGCCTTGGGTAATGCTTCCTATTTTAAGGAAATATATTCTTTTATCAACTAGTTGTCTCTGGTTTATTCCATTAGATTTGCTTGAGTATTTTGTCACAGGATAAAATACCCATTATTTGATGCATTCTGCCATAAGAAAAGGAAACAAGCTATAACAAGAACACAAATTTTTTTAACGAACCAGTACTTGGTACCTTCATCACTATGATGATTTTAAGTTAATGCAATGGGCTTCAAGGAGGATATACAACTACGATCGAATAGATTAGGTCTATAATTAGTGTCTTTTGGATTATAGCATGTTTAAGGACTAGAACACGTGGACATATTTACTGGCTACTCATAATGCACTCTTTTACAAGCTATATGAAATATCTAAGGTAATGGTTGTGTGACTTCCGTCTAGGGGTGGAAATAGGCAGGCCGATAACAGGGGCCTACGGCCTAGCCTACATAGGCTCAAGCTACATTCTAGTCTACATAGGCTCAAGCTACGACCTAGTCTATATAGGCTCAGGCTAGGCCTAGGCTTTTTTATAAGCCTATTTAGTTAAAAAGACTAGGCCTTTAAGATGGGGAAAGGGCGAGGGCGTCCGAAAAAACCGGTGTTTCCGTTGCCGATCTGTGTCTCCAAAAACTCCGTTCAATGATAACAAGACTCCTTGTGAAAACCATGCTCAGCTTAGTTCTCTTCTGCACCAAGCTAGTACTAGTAAAGTGTTGGAAGAGGAGGAGAAAGACGAACCCAACTATGAAGAGGAACAAAATCTGACGAAACCCTATCTACGAAGGTTGAAGAAGAACGCAAGCTCTGGGTTGATGTTTTGAACGACAATCGTAACCCTGCGGTGGGTAGAAGTATGAAATTCATAGCCCCTAAACTTGTCAATGGTGAGGTTGAAGTTCTGATAAACGATGAAGATGTAATAGACGAAATTAAGTTCTGGCAACCATCTCTTATTCTGTATGGGCTTGGTGGTGAGTTGAAAACCTTAATGATTAAGAATTGGAATTTTGTTCAGCTTCCTGATATGTATTATCATGAGGAAGAATACTTTATCCCCCGGTTTAAATCTTTCAGGGAAAGGGATGCAGTGCTTATGAATGGCCCGTTCTCAATTAGAAATATGCCGGTGTTGATTTGTGAATGGCGTCCAGAATTCAATATGAAAAATGACCTTCTTCAAACTCTCCCTATTTGGGTAAAATTTCCTTTTCTTCCTTTTTATCTATGGGGTGATACTAGTTTGAACAAAATTGGGAGCGCTCTGGGTAATCCTATTATGACTGATGAATGCACAACTAATAGGTTAAGAGTATCGTATGCTAGAATTCTTGTGGAGATGGATATTATTAAAGATCTGCCTAAAGACATTACTATAAGGGATAATGAAGGAGAAAAATTGCAACAACCAATTGAGTATGAATGGCGTCCTCTTTTCTGTACTAATTGCCAGAAATTAGGTCACAATTGTGAAAAACCTAGAGCTAAAGTTGTACAATGGAAGCCTAAACCAAGTCAAGCTGAAGGGAAGAAACAAATCCATGCTGAAAATGTGAAGGTTGTGGTGAAAAAGGCTGCCAAAGAATCTGACAGTAGAGTCTCTCCTGAAAAGGAGATTGCTGAGATTGCTGGAGATATTACTTAACCCCCAGATGAAGTAGCTGTAAAGGATGGAGTGTGGACTGCAGTGAAAGATTGGAAAAGATCGAGGGAAGAGAATTGTTGGTGACTCATCTGGCTCTGTAACTTGTGAAAATGGTTTTGATGCCCTGCAGATTTTGAATGATCTGTTGGTGCTGCAGAACACAGGTCAATGATTGTATCCTGGAATATCAGGGGACTGAATAAAATTGGTAAGCTTAGGGAGATTAACTCCCGTCTCCTAGAGTTGAAGGCGGATATTAACATTCTTATAGAGACTAGAGTTAAGAGTGATCATGCCAATTCTATTAGAAATAAATTGAATTTAGGAGGTAAGTATGTTGACAATTATCTCTTCCATGATAATGGTCGTATCTGGCTGCAGTGGAATCCAAACAACCTTGAGGTTAAGGTCAATTTTGTGACTAACCAATTGATTCATTGTGCTATCTTTGATATCCGTGGTAAATTTTGTTACTGGCTGACTGCTATCTATGGTTTGAATAAGCTTGAGCAAAGGAAAATCCTCTGGAGAGACATTACTAATCTGCATCATCAAGGCCCATTCTCATTGGTGATTTCAATAATGTTTTGAAATCCCAAGATAGGATTGGTCGTAACATTGTGACTAAAGCTGAGTTCAAAGATTTACAAGCTATGATGGATAATAAAGATTTAACAGAGATGGTTGGAAGTGGTGACTACTACACTTGGTGCAACAAGCATAGTATTGGTACTATACACTCTAGAATTGACAAACTTCTGGGCAATACATACTGGTTTTAAGCTAATATGAATGCAACTCTCAAAGTGCTACCTCCCAGTGTTTCTGATCACTCTTTGTTATACCTGTCTACCCAGGCTTCTCCAGCTAAGCACCACATCAGATTCCGTTTTATTAATTGTGTGACTGAGACACATGGCTACAATGATGCTGTCAAAACCAGTTGGAATACTCCTTTAGATGGGAGACCTAACTTCATACTTTGGCATAAGTTGAAGAGATTGAAAGATGTGCTCTATAAGTTGAATAAACCCCTTATTCTGGCTAAGCAGCATATTGTTCTGGCTAGAGATAGGCTTTCCATTGTGCAGGCTACATTGACTGTTGACAAGATGAATATCCAGAAAATTCAGGTAGTTAAGAAGTGCACTGAGGATCTTATCTATTGGAATGAGATTGATGATGCTATTATTAGGAAGAGAGCTAAGATTAAACGGCTTAAAAATGGTGATGAGAATAATTCGTATTTCCATGCTTATGTGAAAGGGAAGCAAAATGCTAAGGCCTTGAATATGTTGGAGAAAGAAGATGGAACAATTCTGACTTCTCAAACTGATATTGAAAATGAAAATTTGAATTTCTATGGTGGTTTGATGGGTCAAAAGGAGCAAATGCTGAATTGTATTGATGTTGGGGCTATGAGAAAGGGTCCCCAACTTGATTGTCTGCAAAGGAATAGCCTGGTGGGTCCTGTTTCTAAGCAGGAAATTCACTCTGCCCTTAAAGGGATTGATGATTTGTCAGCTCCCGAGCTCGATGGTTATAATGCTAAGTTTTTTAAACATAGCTGGGACATCATCAAGTTTGATTTAATAGCAACTATTCAGGAGTTCTTTGATAAAGGGAAACTGTATAAAGCTTTCAATTGCACTCTGATTTCTCTCATCCCCAAGAGTAGTTATGCTAAATTCATTAAAGACTATATAGGTCTATCTCAATTTGCCCAACGGTGTATAAGATTATCTCAAGGATTCTAACAGCAAGATTGGGTAAAGTTATTGGCAGCATTATGAGTCCTACTCAAACAGCTTTTATCCCGGGTCAACAAATCCATAATCATATCCTTTTGGCTTATGAGATAATTAAAGGGTATAATAGAGCTGGTGGTCCTCCTAGATGTATGTTTCAAATTGATATGCAAAAGGCGTACGACATGATAAATTGGCAAGCCTTGGAATCTATTATGTATGAGCTTGGTATTCCTTCTAACTTCATCAATCGGGTTATGTCTGTTTTATCTTCTGTTTCTTACAGATTCAATGTTATTGGCTCTCTATCTCAGCTCTTGGTTGCCAATAGAGGAATACGGCAAGGGGATCCAATCTCCCCTTACCTCTTTGCTTTTGTCATGGAGTATTTGCATCGTTGTATGATTCAAATGCAACTTAACCCTAACTTTAATCATCACTCCATGTGTGAGAGACTGCAGTTGGTGAATCTTATGTTTGTTGATGATGTTTTGCTTATGTTTGCATTGATAAAGGTTCTCTGGTTTCATGGATTATGCGTAAAATTCTTCTACAGAGAACCTTTATCAATGCAAACCAAAGCTTGTGGAATGATATGAAAATGCAGAACAAGTTCGATGTAAGTCTGTCTACTTGAAGCTTGTTGTTGGAAGTTATTAGAGAGATAAGTACATAATCAACAAATTCTTTGTTATACAACTCAACATAATATTCATTGTAAATAATAATTAGTAATTAGTTGTCTTCTACCATATTTAGAATTAGCATTTAAAGTGATTTGTCCCTTGTATTCTATAAATACCTTTCATGTATTACTACAATATCAAAGAAATACAAATTGTTTGTTTCTTTATGGTATCAAAGCACTCGATTCTAAGGGCTTTGCTTCCGCGCTCAAAACACTAGTCATTCTTATTACGGCCCTTTTTTCTTGGTCAAGGTTCCCTTTCTTTTGGAACCGTAGTGATCTCGGTGACTTTGCAGCCGCCGTGCACCGCTCAACCGTCGTTGCAGATCCAGACGGTTTCACCTTCATTGTTGTTTTCGGGACATCCTTCATTGCTGTACCTCTGTTTCTTGCTGTTTGCAACCCTTGATTGTTTGGTTCTCATCTTTGTTGGAGTTTCTCATTGGCATTCCTTCGATCCTCTCCTAACAGTAGATCTCGACTCTCCTAGCTCGAGACAATTTGTTTCTCTTTATGGACTCCTTAAGTAAGTTATCTAACACTAGCTCTCTGACCATCATGATTGGTAAGAACTCTAGCTTCTTAGGTTTTAATGTCTTTTGTTCTAAAGATATCTGGATTATTGTCTCCGGTGCAACTGATCACATGACCCTTATATGTCATATCTCTCTTCTTATTCACCTTTACCTAGTGAACGCCATATTACCGTTGCAAATGGGTCCCAAACCCCGATTGTCGGATTTGGTAACATCCGCCTAAGCCCATCTCTCCACCTAAATCATGTGCTTAAGCTTTCTAACAATCTTTTGTCCATCCATAAACTCACTAAAGACTTGAATTATGCTGTAACCTTTTTTCATTCTCATTGTGTTTTTCAGGATCTTGCCACAGGGAAGACGATTGGAATTGCTGAGGAACAGAACGGGTTATATTATCTGTCTCATAAGGAAAGCAAGTATCATCAGGCTGGTTCAGAGTCATGGACAAATACTCAAATATGGCTCCAACACAGACGTCTTGGACGTCCTCCTTCCCGCATGCTCAAGTCTCTATTCCTTCACCTACTTACCAAAGTGTTTGTTGATTCCTTTCATTGTGATGTGCTAGTTTGTCAAATCCCATCGAGCAACCTATTCCCCTAGTGATACTAGGAGTGTCGAACCCTTTAATCTTGTTCATTCTGATGTATGGGGGCATTCATCCATTTCCAATATTTCTGGTGCAAAATGGTATGTTACTTTTATTGATGACTGTACTCGGGTTACATGGGTTATTCTTATGAAAGATAAGTCTGAAGTGTGTCAATTGTTTGTAACTTTTTTCAAATGGTTAGAACACAGTCTGGGAAACCTATTAAAAGGTTACGGTCAATATGTAAACCAAAATTTTCACAATTTTCTGAAAACTAATGGTGTTGTTCATCAGTTGACTTGTGTTGACACTCCACAACAAAATGGGATTGCTGAAAGGAAAAATCGTCATCTTCTTGAAATCACCCGAGCATTACGCTTTCAAATGAATGTTCCTAAATTTTATTGGGGGGAAGCAGTCTTGACCTCTGCTTATCTAATCAATAGGCTACCTTCTAAGGTGTTATCTGGTGTTAGTCCTGTGCAGGTCCTGACTCAATTCTTTCTGTCCGTGTCCATTATGTCAAGTCTTTAGAATCATGTCTTTGGTTGTTCTGCCTTTGTCCATGTTCATGGTCTTCATCGAGGTAAGTTAGATCCTCAGGCTATTAAATGTATCTTCATAGGATATGCTTCAGATAAGAAGGGGTACAAGTGTTATCATCCATGAATGTTACTTTTCAGGAATCTGAGTCTTTTTATCCCAATCCTCAGCTTCAGGGGGAGAATAATCAAGAAGCTGAGTCTTCAGAGTTGTTTGTCCTTCTTGTTATTCCTCTAATACCGGACCCAAAGCCGCCTCCTGAGTTGTCTGTTATTCCTCTAATACAGGACCCATAGTTGTCTCCTGAGTTGTCTGTTCTTTCTGTTATTCCTGTAATACAGGAGCCCTTGATGCCTAATGAGGATGGTGGTGATATACGAATATCGGTGCATAATAATGTTGACAGATACAAGTTACAATTCCAGCGAAAAAGGTGGAAAGATAAACCTGTTCTGCCCCAACAAGTCCAATCGTCTGAACCTGAGGTAAGTGTTCCTAATCCTGAGCTTAGTAATTCTTGTGAGCCAAACCTTGATGACCTACCTATTGCTTTGAGAAAAGAAAAAAGGTCTTGTATCAAATATCCTATATCCCAGTTTGTGTCTACTGGAAAGCTTTATGTGCAACATCAGAGTTTTATTTCAGCTATTGACTCTATTGGAGTCCCTGCATTAGTACAAGAAGTATTAAAGGATAATAATTAGATTCAAGCCATGAATGAAGAGATGCATGCACTAGAGAAAAATGGGACTTGGGAGATTATTGAGAAGCCAAATGACAAGAGGTCAGTAGGCTGCAGGTGGATATATATACGGTAAAATACTGATCCGACGGTATACTCGACAGATATAAGGCGAGGCTAGTTGCAAAGGGATACACCCAGACCTATG